ACCTATCTATCTACCTACCTACCTATCTATCTACCCATCCATCAATCCATCCAATCTATCTATCTATCTATCTAATCTAATCTAATCTAATCTATCTAATCTATCCTATCTATCCTATCTATCCTATCTACCCTATCTATCCTATCTATCCTATCTATCCTATCTATCCTATCTATCCTATCTATCCTATCTATCCTATCTATCCTATCTATCCTATCTATCCTATTTATCCTATCTGTCCTATTTGTCCTATCTATCCTGTCTATCTAATCTATCTAATCTATCTAATCTATGTAGTATATCTAGTATATCTAATCTATCTAATCTATCTAATCTATCTAAACTTTCCAATCTATCTAATCTATCTAATCTATCTGAACTATCTGAGCTATCTGATCTTTCTGATCTATCTGATCTATCTCATCTATCTCATCTATCTCATCTACCTAATCTATCTAATCTACCTAATCGATCTAATCTATCTAATCTATCCATTATTTCTATCTATCTGTCTATCTGTCTATCTGTCTATCTGTCTGTCTATCTGTCTATCTATCTATCTCTATCTATCTATCTATCTATCTATCTATATATCTATTTATCTTTCTATCTATCTATCTATCCATCTATCTATCTATCTCTCTATCTGTCTATCGATCTAGCTGTCTCTCTATTTATCTGTCTATCTGTCTATCTATATGTCTATCTATCTATCTATCTCTCTCTCTCTCTCTTTCTCTCTCTCTGTCTGTCTGTCTGTCTGTCTATCTATGCACCTGTCTATCTGCAAGCTTGAATACTAAGCAAGTCTGCGAGACGTCCTCAATTTTTGAAGTTAACAACGTCAAAAACGAAACAATTCTGCGAGACTTCTGCAGTTGTTGAACTTGACAATATCCAAAACGAAGCAATTCTGCGAGACTTCTTCAATTTTTGAACATGACAACATCAAAAACGAAACAATTCTGCGAGACTTCTGCAGTTGTTGAACTTGACAACATCCAAAACGAAGCAATTCTGCGAGACTTCTTCAATTTTTGAACATGACAACATCAAAAACGAAGCAATTCTGCGAGACTTCCTTCAAAAATGGAAAGTTGAGTGCAGAGCTGAGGGTCTCGTACCAATGCGTTTTGCGATTTTTCCCACTCCACCTGTCTAAAGTACTGCGCATGCCACGAAAAAGTGATGCGAGGTCATACGAAGTGCTGCACTTGTCACGCAAAATCATCTCAGCAAATCTGAAGATCTGGTGCTCCAAAATGCAACCCCTCTCAGGAAATCAGCGCCCGGACCTCTTAACAACTCTGATGAACATGTCTCTTGTGCGTCTGCCACGGAAAATGCATCTTTGCAGATCCTCTTCAAATGTCCCACGCCTGCCACCGTGTTTGGAAATGCTACAAAACCCTCACGTTTTGCTCACTTTTGACAACGTGCACAATCCCTTGCGCCTGCCACGCAAACCAACATCTGAACGTCCAAAAGTGCTCCGAACCCCTCAGTTTTTTGCACTTTTGACTTCGAAATGTGCTTCGCGCCACAACGGCGTGCACTTTTTCGACATCTCAACTTCCAAAAGTGGTCTGAAGCTGGTGTGCTTTGTACATTTTGACTTCGAAATGTGCTTCGCGCCACAACGGCGTGCACTTTTTTGACATCTCAACTTCCAAAAGTGGTCCGACCCTGGTGTGTTTTGTATACATTTGAACTTCGAAATGTGCTTTGCGCCACAACAGCGTGCACTTCTTCGACATCTCAACTTCCAAAAGTGCTCCGAACGTGAAGTGTTTTTAGCTTTTTCACTTGCAAATGTGCTTCGCGCCACAACGGCGTGCAATTTTTCATCAATCATCTGGCCACATGGCTCCGCACCCGCCGCTTTAGCGACTCTACTTTTCGACCCTCCGGAGCCACAAATCATTGGAAAAACACAGTGTTTCCCGACTTTCCCATCTTTTCGCGCACTTGGATCTTCTTTCTTCTGAGACTTTCTTTTTCTTGATCTTCTTTCTTCTTCTCTTCTCTTCTCTTTTTGATCTTCTTTCTTCTTCTCTTCTCTTCTCTTCTCTTCTCTGACTCTTCCCATCTCTGCTTTTCATCTGTCCATATTGTCGGAAGTTTGACTTCCAAACTTCCTTCGATTTTTTTTGGTTTTACAAGGGGTTCAAACTCTACATCTTAAAAAAAAATGAGGAGGATGTTTTTTGTCCTTTGGGCCTTTGGGCTACAAGGAACGTTGCGCAATACCATCTATAGATGTACTTTTTGGGTCCTGTCAGCGAAAAAGGAACATGTGACAACACCCTCATATACTATAGTTAGTTTTTTGGGTTCTTCGGTCTACCAGGTAGTGCCCAGCACGCGCCGGGGCGGAAGTTTCGAAAGAAAAATACTATATCATATAGGAAGAAGATGGCATATAGGAAAGTTTTTGAGATGCAGAAGCAACGAAGTGTTGAAGTTGTGACGTTCATCATCAAATGAGCAAATGGTTGTTGAGATGCCAATGAAAGGGCATGAAAGAATCCATGCACAACTGACGGAATGAATCAGTGAACCCATGAACCGATGAACCAACGAGCCAATGAATCGATGATTCAGTGAATCGATGAAGGATCGAAGCGATGAATCAATGACTCAGAAAATGAATCAATAAATCAAGGAATCAGTGAATCAATGAAGCAACGAATCAAAGAACCAATGAAGCAACGAAGCAGTGAACCAATGACACGTTTCCACCTCAAAACCCTCAGATAGCAGATGGCCATTTCGACCTTAAAACCCTCCTATCCACCTTAAATCCCGCAACATGTTTGCGTGGCAGGTGCTTTTAACAATTTTTCACGTGCAGATGTCGTACATTCGCAGTGTTTCTTGGGTCTCAATGGTGAGGAAAAATATGGAAAAAAAATTCGCTTCGTGAACGCAGCTGTCAGTTTGGGCCCTGGCTTCTCTTGGCTATTACCCTCTGGTAAACTAACATAGCTATTGAAAATGGCCATTTATAGTAAGTTTTCCCATTAAAAATGGTGATTTTCCATAGTTATGTTAGTTTACCAGAGGGTACCTTGTAAGTGGACAATGGTTTTGGCTTTAAAAAACCAGACTCGACAAAGTATGAGTGTCGCGCTACTGCGCTACTGATTGGCATTGGGTTGGAAAATGAGAGTTTTGCATCTTGAGCATGCAGTCGTGGGATTCTTTTAATGGTCAGCTGGAGTTATTGGACAGGCTGTGCTACCCTTTTTGCCAGGGCCAACCTAAGAAGCAACAGGGCCAAGTTTTGCCATGAACCGGGCCGGCCTTCAAATTGCTCAACGTCATTTTGCGCTTTATTATTCTGCCGACATTCCCAAGATGCCGCGGGCATGCTTTGTTGCAAAACAACAGCGGTGAATTTCTGAGATTCCCAGCAGCCGGCGGGAAAACCCCATGAATTTTCACATGTTCATGTTTAGAAAACATGTTGGCAGAAAAGTTGTACAAAATGACGTTGAACAATTTGAAGACCTTGGCAGAAAACTTGGCCTTGCCGCTTCTTAGGCAGGTTGCTCTGACAAAAAGATACAAAAAGGGTAGTATAGCTTGTCCAATTGCTTTCTTGCAGGTAGATCAACCATATTCAACTAACTTTCTGGCAAATTTCATTTCTGTTTGACAAAAACTAAATGCAAAACGTCATGCCAAGACTGCTTCGCTTTCTCCTGTTACAGGTGGAGATGGCGCTGGCAGTTGCTGACCCTGCATAATATTCCGAAGTGTGTAAAAAAGAGCAGCCATGACCCAGAGGCTCTTTTGACTGGCATGGTGCAGCATGTCACAACAGCTTTTGTTTACTCTATGACATTTCAGCTCGAAATCTTTAAAACGCTGAAATCAGTGAAATTTCAATTTCTAGTTAAACTATTCTGTTGAAAAAGTAATCAGGGACCAGCAGGGACAAGAGTTTTTTTAGGTGGATTCAGGGTTTTGAGGTTGATATGGCCCTACCGTGGGGTTTTTGAGTTGATATGCACGTCTGGGATGAACCAGTGGATCAACGAAGCAATGAATCAATGGTTTAGCCAAACAATGAACCAATGAATCAGTAAACCAACGAATCAATGATTTAATGGACCAATGAATCAATGAGTCACTGAGTCAACGGAACAACGAGCCAATGAATCAATGACGAGTCAGTGAATCAGCCGAACAATGAATCAGTGAATCCGTGAATCAGCCAATCCATGAACCAATGATTCAGTGAATCAACCAATCAATGAACCAATCAACCCGTGAATCAATAAATCAACGAGTCAGTGAACCAATGATTCAGTGAATCAACGAACCAATGAATCAATCAAACATTGAACCAATGAATCAGAGAATCCATGAGTCATTGAAACAATGAACCAATGAATCAGTGAACTAATGAACCATTGAAGCAATGAACAATGAAGCAATTCATCAACGAATCAGTGGCCATAGAATCCTCCGCATGGCTATGTATCATGGGTGGCAACACCTTTTGAAGCAACTTGTTTGCAAGGATGTAATTGTACGGTCATAACTTAGGACTTCTAAGGTATCATACATTTGGCTGTGTGAACGATTAAGCAAACAATATGTATTATATTATATTCATATAATATATATAGACATACATACATATATACATACATACATACATACATACATACATACATACATACATACAGACAGACAGACAGACAGACAGAAAGACAGGCAGACAGACAGACATACATACATGTACCGTACATATTTTTCATTGTATATATACGTAATACTGTATATCCATCTTGCCGCTCAGTTCTCCTCAACCGACTCACGTAGGGAAGGGAAAAGAAGGAATTAACCAGTTCCTGAAAGCCCGATCATGCGGACATCCTTGTGCGTGTAGCCGAGTTTCAAATACAGTATCTAGTCGGTCTAAATGATTTCTTCCGATGCGCAAACAAGTGACCCAAATGAATCCAAATTAATCCACACGGTGCTTGTCATTGACCGCCCAAAAAGTAGCAAGCGAAAGTGACAGCTTTCCAGCACACTTTAGGAACAAAGACGTCGCAAACAGCCAGAAAAAGGAGGTGGATGGCGTCCGAATGCAAATAAAACACACTTGGAAAATATGACGCTAAAGCGCATGCAAGCTTCCAGCAGTCGAAGGGTATCATTACACTGTGATGGTTCAGGCGTGTAATCTCCAAGATGTTGGTGTTGGGCGTCAGAAAATCGCAGGCTGCACGCTCGAGCCTACACCACCCTCGCTCCTTCCAGGTAGAAAGATTCAAGTGCTGGCCAGTGTCTGCATGTTCAATAGGAGGCGCCAAAACGATGAAAAATTTGGACCTCCTGAGCAGGTTGAAGCACATGATGTATGAAGTATGCAGTGCGACCAACTTAGGACGGTATTTCTTTATCAACAGACTGATTGAACGCAGATTTTTATTCCCCTTGAGACTGCTGGGTGAGAGATAATATTAAGAGACACATATCCCAACAAAGTACTGTAAAAACACCAGTGTTCATTGTATATTGGCAGGTTTTCCACCACCTAACCATTACTGTAAAAAAAAAATATCACAGTGCTCACCCCCAAGAAAGGGATCCCTCTCCAATCCCAGGATAATTATAAAAGAATAAGGTTCAATCAGCTGCCTTGAGCATTGGAGTCTTTGACTAGCGGGTGAACACTCATTGAAAATATTGGCCAATTATAAGGATCAGCATTGTTCCAATGGACAATTCATAAACTGCAGGTCATATTTCATGATTTTTCTTGGTGCTTACGCAGGTGGAAAAAGCTAGCGCAGAATGCCGAAGGCCATATCAGGGTTTATCACCGCGCAAACGTTCCAATCTAACGCAGGAACTAATCGGTGGTTTCAACGGACCCAAATCATATTATAGTTAATCAAGCCGGACGATCAAACATGAGTAAAACATAGCGAAACCACGAGCAAGAAATTAAAAACTAGGGTGGTATCAGAACAAACAATTTTTGGGCGAGAGGTAAATGCGCGCCCGCCTCACAAGTCACCAGCTTCATTTTTTCCCGACAGAGCAGGAAAGCCGCATCAAGTTCTGAGAAAGCATCCTGTGGATGTCTTCCAAGGCTGTTATTCCTCGCATGTCTGTAAGAGGCAAAAGCCTGCAAGACAGTCTTGATCCCCCACCCCACCCCACCTCACCTCATTATCAACGTAGCGCCATCAAGTTGCAGCATAGCATCAAATATGTGAGCAAGTTGCAGCGCAGGATCAGGAAGGTAAGCAAGACGAAGCGTAGCATCAAGTAGGTGAGCAAGTTGAGCGTAGCATCAAGTCAGTCCACGCGTAGATCCAAACGTTACTAGCACCCCGCATTATGTAGGTGGGCAGGTTGCAGCGTAGCATCAAGTAGGTGAGCAAGCTTCAAGCGTAGCATCAGGTTGGTGAGCAAGTTGCAGTAGTATCGATGAAAAAAGGGCTGCAGACAGAAGCCCTGAATAGCACACAATTCCAAAAACAATGAGGCTTTTACAAAGGGATTTGGGATTTGCAAACGAAAAGTTGCGCGTTTTCACCTCCTCAGAGGGAACGTCCAGGATATGATATCTAAGTATAGTTATAAGAATTAACGCCCACGAAGAGGCAACAGAAGACCCCAAACAGTGTGCAAAGAACATGGGGATAGATTCTGCAAGTTCACTTTGTGCAAAGAACATGGGGATAGGTTCCTTTCGTCAAGATCTTTGTAGCAAGTCTCTGTCGCTGATCTCTGAACAAGATCTCTGTACAAGCTGTCTACAAAACGTATCTTGTCAAGAGCTCTGCAATAACAGGCCTCTATCAAAAATACACCTAAATGATCACACCATCTTGGAGGACAGTTCCAATTTCTAACTTTCGACAGCTCTAATGTCCTCTGCTGTGCGGATCAAGGGCCTGAGAAAGATGTCCCACAATTACCTGACATGATTTTGAACACCTTGGACATTGTAAAATGGGGAAATGACTCTAATATACTCTATAATTATACCAGCTTTTTTTCACAGTTTTTTTGGTAGACCCCGGAAACCATTACATCATTTTCATGCCCTTCAACCTGTTAAGGTACTTATAGATCCTGAAACGAGGAGAGAGGGCAACCAGGCAACAGTTAAACGGACTTTCGTTTCGAGCCTTCAAAAAATCGTCCGAGTTCACCAAATCATGCGCCTGCCACGAAAGATGACCTCCGAAACCACCTCTCATTTCAACCCCACCCCTGTCCAACTTTTTTTTAAAGCAAGGTGAACCAAATACTAAGCCTGCCACACGAATGAAAAAGCGTCGAGAGTATATACCTGTCGCGCAAAGCGACGTTCAAGACTTAAGAGAGCTCTCCTAGCCCCGTTTTAGCGCGAGAGTTCCTTCGAAAACAGAAGATCGAGGAACTTGTGCGCTGTAAGGGTCACCAAAAGTGCCAAACACCTATGCGCGAACCGTGGATCCAATCCAGGCTTAACCATTGTCGTAAGAACCCCGAGTGTGAACACACTGTTATTTGTTTGTACAAAAAACAGGACTGTACAGAACATGTCTTCACCATATTTTCCAGGTTTCCAACATGTTCTATCTGCAGTTTGTGGTTTGGGCTACTGTCGTTTCCAGTGCGCAAGGCTGCCCAGGGGCATCACATAGGTCGGAATGCTGTGCACTGCATTTTGCAGATCAGTCCCAGCAGCCGAGGCCTTGCGCATTTCCAACTGAGGAATGCTGAAGAAATCCTCAGTTGGAGATGGGCCAAAACCCAAGGAACCCCTGGTGAACAGCAAAATTGCTGGGATATGCTGGGATTTATATGGATTTATGATGATTTTTGATGATTTATGGATGTTCATCCCTCCCCAAGTATGGTATGTCAAATTATGTGAATGTATTCCATAGGTTTTGATTCATCCCCAGTGAGCTAACCAGCAGCACCAACATCAGCAATCGCCAGCGTCCAAGTGCTGTTCCCATCTGTTCCCTGCGCCCAGGATCGTACCAGATCAGCAAAGGCTTCTCCCGCCACTCCCTTGGGTCAATCTTCTGCGAATAGCCCAGGGCTAAAAGATACAGGATGCTGGAGCGGACAGGCCGATCAGAACCCAGAAGCTGTGACATGACCTGCAGATCCCGGTCAATGCGATGCGTTTTTTTTTGACCAAAAAATGGGATCTTTGCAGATCAAACACATTTCCCATGTGGCTTTTGTACAAGCAAACCTCATTGGTCGTGGATGCATCCTGCTTTTCGACTGCATCGGTGGATGTGTCACAGCCGTTGAAGAATGGGAAAAAATGAACAAAAAAATGTTAAGCCTCATTTTGAGGCGCCCAAAAAATCTTTTTGCAGGGTAGATACATGTAGAATCATGTATATCACATTAGATATCATAATTAATTATATGATATCACTAGAAAATATCACTATCCCAATTTCGATATCCCGATTCTATCACCATTATATAATGTAGAATCATGTATACTTTAAAACTCAATGGTTTATGATCATTTCCCCATTGAAATTGCCATCTATCCACCTATGGATGGTCGTCATTGACCCAGCCAGACCCGGTCGCCTTTTGCAGCATGGAAAGCTGGCGAAAGTGTGGGTCGGGATGCTTCAAACCAGTCCATTGGTGCGAGACGAAGATGGCATTGCCCAAGTGTTCCTCGTACTTCACCTTGTGAAAACTTGGTGAAGTAGGCTTCATTAGGGGCTATAACTATATAAAACAAATTATAAATCAAGTTATAACTAGATGTATAACTATAAATCAAGTTAAGTTATTGTAACTGGACAGCCTCATTTTAAGTTAGTCCTTTGAAACCCAATCAGAAATGCTAATCATCCACTATCATCATGTCCCGTTTTGAGGATGGAAAAATGTTGGAAATCAGGATCCAGTCACCAATAGGCCCTCCTCCTGTAAATCTCGATGCGACTTGGCCGATGTCAAATTCATAAAGGCTTCCATAGAAAGGACGTACCTGCACTCGGCAAAGAGAGCAGGTACGAAGCAACTCGCCATCAGCAACTCTGTCCCAGTGTTCTGCTAAAAGGTCCGAATTCGAAAGGGATTTTTATCATCCCTTCAACTAGATCCTGTCTCAATATGGAAAGAAAATTCCCTCTGCAAATGGGCAATTATCGGAGTCTATCTTACTTGGATAGTGTACGGGTGCAGATTTGTTTGTGTTTTTTTTTGTTTGTTTGTTTTCAGTCTGGGGCACTTTTCCTTGCTATTTGCTACATTTTGGAGCAAAAACCTCCATTTTGCTAAATGTTGGAGCTAAAATTTGCTATTTGCACTGTTCATCGATTTTTCCATGGTTTTACATGATTTTTCCATGGTGTTCATTGATTTACCCAAAGTGTTCATCGATTCTTAATAGTGTTCATTGAGTTTTCCATGGTTACAATCGTTTTTTTTCCATGGTTTCAATCGATTTTTCCTTGCATAACATGCACCTGGTGAACATGTAGAATATAGGTTGAAGCACAATCCTGTTGGGTCTAAATAGTGGCATTGGATGCTATCATAGTGTCGGTGGGTTTAGGGTTCATTTAGGGTTGGTTTAGGGTTTATTCAGTCTTGTTTAGGGTTGGTTTAGGCTTTATTTGTTGTTTGTTTAGGGTGTATTTCAGGTTGGTTTAGGGTTTATTTAGGGTTATTTAGGGTTGGATTAGGGTTTATTTAGGGTTGGTTTAGTGCCTATGCAGGGTTAGTTTAGGGTTTATTTAGGGTTAGTTTAGGGTTATTTAGTTTAGGGTTTGTTAAGGGTTGGTCGGGTTGGTTTAGGGTCTCTAGGTTGGTTCAAGGTTTATTTAAGGTTTATGTAGGGTTGGTTTAGGGTTTATTTAGGGTTATTTAGGGTTGGTTTAGGGTCTATTTAAAGTCTGTTGAGGGTTGGATTAAGGTACATGTAGGGATACAAGGCGCGTGTGTGTGTGTGTGTATAAAGATTGATATATAGGTAGGTAGGTAGGTAGATAGATAAGATAAGATAAGATAAGATTAGATTAGATTAGATTAGATAGATAAGATTAGATAGTTAAGATTAGATAGATAAGATTAGATAGATAAGATTAGTTAGAAAAGATTAGATAGATAAGATTAGATAAGATTAGATAAGATTAGATAAATAAGATTAGATAGATAAGATTAGATAGATAAGATTAGATAGATAAGATTAGATAGATAGGATTAGATAAGATTAGATAAATAAGATTAGATAGATAAGATTAGATAGATAAGATTAGATAAATAAGATTAGATAGATAAGATTAGATAGATAAGATTAGATAGATAAGAAGATAGATAGATAGATAAGATTAGATTAAGATTAGATAGATAAGATTAGATAGATAAGATTAGATAAATAAGATTAGATAGATAAGATTAGATAGATAAGATTAGATAGATAAGATTAGATAGATAGGATTAGATAAGATTAGATAAATAAGATTAGATAGATAAGATTAGATAGATAAGATTAGATAAATAAGATTAGATAGATAAGAAAAGATTAGATAGATAAGATTAGATAAATAAGATTAGATAGATAAGATTAGATAGATAAGATTAGATAGATAAGATTAGATAGATAGGATTAGATAAGATTAGATAAATAAGATTAGATAGATAAGAAAAGATTAGATAGATAAGATTAGATAAATAAGATTAGATAGATAAGATTAGATAGATAAGATTAGATAGATAAGATTAGATAGATAGGATTAGATAAGATTAGATAAATAAGATTAGATAGATAAGATTAGATAGATAAGATTAGATAAATAAGATTAGATAGATAAGAAAAGATTAGATAGATAAGATTAGATAAATAAGATTAGATAGATAAGATTAGATAAATAAGATTAGATAGATAAGATTAGATAGATAAGATTAGATAGATAAGATTAGATAAATAAGATTAGATAGATAAGAAAAGATTAGATAGATAAGATTAGATAAATAAGATTAGATAGATAAGATTAGATAAATAAGATTAGATAGATAAGATTAGATAGATAAGATTAGATAGATAAGATTAGATAGATAAGAAAGAAAGAAAGAAAGAAAGAAAGATAGATAGATAGATAGGCAAAGCATGGTAAAGCCACAAAAGCCACACACCCACAAAAGCCACAAAGCCAGGCTGGAAAACAAAAAATGCAAAAAAAAAAGACCTCCATAGTGTACTGTGAACAAGGTAGAATTGGGCGGCAGAGTAAACACACAAGCACACGCACACGCATAACAAGCATGCAACGCATGACGGTATAATATACATATATATATATATATACCTGGACCTTCGTTCGTACCCAAAATTTTGGGTACAAATGCTCATTGTACACTTTTTGATGATTTGTACCTCTTTGCGCTGAAACGGTCTGTCTCGTGCAAAAGAAGCAGAATAGCATTTTTTAAAACTATTAACAAAAAATGTGCCAAACTCGTGCGCAAAATGGGCGCAAAAACCTGACTGTCAAACGGTTGCAAAAACCATCAAACGGGCAAGAATCCAGGTCGGGCAGAATTTGTTCCCCCTTTGAAGATTCAGGTTGGTATATATGATACATAACTAACTTATATCAACTTATATGTAAATTCACCACGTAACATACTCCAAAATCACCCAGACACTCCTGTCTTTGATGGTCAAATCATGTCAAGTCCAATTCTTTGATGGTGTACTTGTCCCCATTGATACGGAGACAGTTCCATACATTTCTATTGGCCACTAACACATCCGAGACACATTGGAAAGCTTCCCACCGCATGGGTCTCTGGATCCAATCTTCTAAAGGCCGCCTCCGCTCGTGCCGCTTGACTCGCTTGACTCGTCAAGCGGCCACCGCCGCATCTCGCCATTGGTGCGGTGGCATGTCTGAGCCCAAGTGGATGGCGTTGGTCTGCTACCTCTCGATGAACTCTTCCTACTGTGGATGGTTGCGAAATCCGAAAAAACACCTTGGATGGTTGAAACATGTTGAAAGCCTGTAAATACAGTAATGGAATAAACCACCTATCAACTGGTGCAGGATTTCGCAACCATCCACCGTATCTTTAAGGGCAAAACATGGTAAACATCCTTTATTGAGACTTTGATTCCATCGATCTGGGATATCTGTGTCATTGGGTTATCCTGGCTTTGCCTGGAAAATAGGTTTACAGAAAAAATCCATGATGGAAAATAGGTTAACATATGGTTACTATATGGTTAATATATGGTTAATGATGGTTAATAATAATCTGGTTGGTGGTGCAATAACCATCTTGAAAAATATGAGTTCGTCAATGGGAAGGATGACATCCCCTATACTATGGAAAATAAAAAATCTTTGAAACCGCCAACCAGTCATGGATTCCCTGCACAAAAACATGGCCACAAAAAAGGGTGGTTGATCTCAAACCTCCAGTGGACTCAAACCATTGAGGTTTTGGAAAAGCACCACGGTTTTTGGAACCACGTCGCGTAAGTATGAAACGCATAGGGGCCTACATTTGACAATGTTTCCATGTTTTTGCGTGCATGAATGATCATGGTTTTTGTTTGAAACACATCCTTACGTGTACAATCTTGTGATAGTTTGTGCATCAATTGAACTGTTACATGTTTACACAGCAAGGCAGTCATAAAATTAGTGCACTGTATCAATACATACCGCATCATACGGCCATGTACCCACGCACATCCTTCAAACACATCCGTGACACATCCTTCAAACACGTCAGTGATTGGGTTTGCCAAACAATATGGTACCCAAAATGCTATGTGTTTTCCGCATTAGAATTGCCATCATTTTAGGGTAACTCTGCCATGCATAGAGAAACCTGATTGCTGTCTGTACCAAACACTTGCAGCCACCTCTACTTGCTGTTGCTCTTGCAAGGCCAATAGTTCAGCCTGCGCCTGTTCTGAGTGCAGGTGCTTTTGCTGATCATTATAACGATTACACTATAACTATCTGAATATCTAAATATTTGCTGCCCAAGTAATTTCATAATCCAAACGCTTGCATGATGTTCATTTATTTAGGCCAGAAAATACAAATATTATATGCGTACTACACTTTTTACAACCGCAAAGAAAATCAATAAACACGACATGTGTCACAACTAAGTATATATATATATGTGTATATGTGTAACATATATTTATGCAATATATATATATATAGATGTTTACATGACTTTACATGGCAGTATCAACACTTATACTTTTCATATCAACTGATATAACCAATATAAAACCAATATATAACTATATATATCCGCCGACCCCAGCCATCTGCAGGGGGAGCGCGTCCGAGAAAAAGTGGTTTTGCGGCGCCTTTGGCGGCCCAGCAGCATGTCCGACCATCTCCCGGGTGCTTGCCATTGGCCTTTCAGTGGCATAAAGCAACGTTAGGCACCAGGCTCCCCTGAAACGTCTCCCGGCGCCGTTGGCGGCCCAGCAGCGGAAACGTCTCCCGGCGCCCTTGGCGGCCCAGCAGCGTGTTCTTTGGCGACCTGCCGGGCGCTTTCCAGGAGATTTTCTTCTGGTTTCAGAAAGCAACGTTAGGCACTAGGCTGCACCGAAACGTGTCCCGGCGCCCTTGGCGGCCCAGCAGCGTGTCTTTTGGCCACCTGCCGGGCGCTTTCCTGGAGATTTTCTTCTGGTTTCAGAAAGCAACGTTAGGCACTAGGCTGCACCGAAACGTGTCCCGGCGCCCTTCGGCCCAGCAGCGTGTCCTTTGGCGACCTGCCGGGCGCTTTCCAGGAGATTTTCTTCTGGTTTCAGAAAGCAACGTTAGGCACTAGGCTGCACCGAAACGTCTCCCGGCGCCCTTGGCGGCCCAGCAGCGTGTCTTTTGGCCACCTGCCGATCGCTGTCCTGGAGATTTTCTTCTGGTTTCAGAAAGCAACGTTAGGCACTAGGTTGCACCGAAACGTGTCCCGGCGCCCTTGGCGGCCCAGCAGCGTGTCTTTTGGCCACCTGCCGGGCGCTTTCCTGGAGATTTTCTTCTGGTTTCAGAAAGCAACGTTAGGCACTAGGCTGCACCGAAACGTGTCCCGGCGCCCTTGGCATGTCCTTTGGCGACCTGCCGGGCGCTTTCCTGGAGATTTTCTTCTGGTTTCAGAAAAGCAACGTTAGGCACTAGGCTGCACCGAAACGCCTCCCGGCGCCCTTGGCGGCCCAGCAGCGTGTCTTTTGGCGACCTGCCGGGCGCTTTCCTGGAGATTTTCTTCTGGTTTCAGAAAGCAACGTTAGGCACTAGGTTGCACCGAAACGTGTCCCGGCGCCCTTGGCGGCCCAGCAGCGTGTCTTTGGCCACCTGCCGGGCGCTTTCCTGGAGATTTTCTTCTGGTTTCAGAAAGCAACGTTAGGCACTAGGCTGCACCGAAACGTGTCCCGGCGCCCTTGGCGGCCCAGCAGCGTGTCCTTTGGCGACCTGCCGGGCGCTTTCCTGGAGATTTTCTTCTGGTTTCAGAAAGCAACGTTAGGCACTATAGGCTGCACCGAAACGTGTCCCGGCGCCCTTGGCGGCCCAGCAGCGTGTCCTTTGGCGACCTGCCGGGCGCTTTCCTTGGATGACGTGGGTGAACAAGTTCAACAATCGAATCCTGGATTCGTTTGCAAGCACATACAAACGTGTTGTTTGAAAATGCTGCTTGGGTAATGTTGGATGCACATCTGAGGGGCCTCTCTAATGCTACCTTGTCTTGCATCGCTATGTAGCCGATGCAGAAGCCACAATTGCGTTGTAACATGGCTTTTTTTTCCGGGGTCGGCGGCAGGGGCGGCAGCCCTTAATATTATATAACTAATATATATATATAACAATAATATGTATATATAATATATATATATAATACATACTATACTAATGTCCAGCAGCCGCTCTGCCGGCACCTTGCGTTGCTTGGACGCCTCAGCAGTCTCCCGAAAGGCCTCCCAGACAGCCACGGTGACCACGGTGCTGTGATCGTCGCGGAGTGAAAACTCGGTGGTTTAATCATGTTAATGTAAGTGTTTTTAATGATATTGTATTAAACACCATGTTAATTGAACATTAATTATAATCATGTTAATATGTCAATCCCTACCCCATGACGGATCCATGGTGCTGGTATATAATATGCTAACATGACTGGGGTATATTGATGGGATTCATGTTACCATATATAGCATACATGGATCCTATGGGTCATGTTAAAATATGTTCAAGGTACCTGATATGGTAAGTGTTTTTAATCATGTTTTCAATTAACCAAATGATGGGGTTATGGTATTTTTAACCAACCACATAATTCCAAATAATGGGATGATGGAGTACTATTGTGTGTTTCTACCGGGAAATGACCCAAAAATGAGAATAGCGAAGATAGACATGTTTAAATCAATGGAATGAGTAATGAGTATGATCTAACTAGGATTAATTGTGGATGAACATGGATTTACCATTTCTTTGAAAGTTGGGAGTTGCCCTGAGGCAAAGTGACATAAACGAGGAAAACCGATGATTTTCCTGGAGCATTATCTATAAATGCTTGACTGTCCTTATCTATGTTTCTTTTAGTGATTCATTGGTGCTTCAACCAAACAATTTGAAACATTTTGAAACACATCGACCTCACAAAGCCGTAAATCATGTACAGGCAGATTTCTCATCCAAAACAAACCAATGCAACACATGTACCCTCTGGTAATTTAACATAGCTATTGAAAATGGCCATTTATAGTGAGTTTTCCCATTAAAAATGGTGATTTTCCATAGTTATGTTAGTTTACCAGAGGGTATATACATACACACAGGGGTTTCTTAAAATGGATGATCCCCAAAATCCAAAAAACTATGGGGTTCAAAATGTTTCAATACTAACATGGCCTAATATGGCCTAATGACTTGGATGCGTACCGGGGTAGCCATATTTTAGGAAACCTCCACACATTGATCATGGATAGCGTTTAAATGTGTTTAGGATGAACTGAATGAACATGGGTCAATCTCTATGATGAGCTAAGGGGCAAAGTTTGGCTACCAACAAGTGCAGACTGGATGCTTCGGACTCAAAACGACAAGCCCAGTGTGTTCGGAGTCTCAAACCCCAACAAATGAGGCCCTGGAGTGTGTGGAGTGTGGAGCGTGGAGTGTGAAGTGTGGAGATCGTGAAGTGTGGAGTGTGAAGTGTGCAGTGTGCAGTGTGGAGTGTTGAGTGTGAAGTGTGGAGTCTGGAATGTGGTGTGTGGAGTGTGGAGTGTGGAATGGGAAGTGTGAAGTGGAGAGTGTGAAGTGTAAAGTGTGGAGAGTGTGGAGAGTGTGAAGTGTGGAGTGTGAAGTGTGCAGTGTGCAGTGTGGAGTGTGGAGTGTTGAGTGTGAAGTGTGGAGTCTGGAATGTGGTGTGTGAATTGTGGAGTGTTGTGTGTGGAGTGTGAAGTAAAGTGAAGTAAAGTGAAGTGAAAAGAGGTGAAAAGAGGTGAAGTGAAGTGAAGTGAAGTGAAGTGAAGGGTGGACTGTGAAGTGTGGAGTGTGAAGTGTGCAGTGAAGAGTGTGAGGTGTGAAGTGTTGATTGTGAAGTGTGAAGTGTAGAGTGTGAATTGTGAAGTGTGGAGTGGAGGATGCAAACTGTGAAATGGAGTGTGGAGTGTGGAGTGTGGAGATAGAGTGTGGAGATAGAGTGTGGAGATAGAGTGTGGAGATAGAGTGTGGAGATAGAGTGTGGAAATAGAGTGTGGGGTTAGAGTGTGAAGTGTGGAGTGTGAAGTGTGGAGTGTGAAGTGTGGAGCGTGGACTTTGGAGTGTGAAGTGGAGAGTGTGAAGTGTGAAGTGTAAAGTGTGGAGTCGAGTGTGAAATGTACAGATTGCGAAGTGTTGAGTGTGAAGTGTGCAATGTGCAGTGTGGAGTGTGGAGTGTTGAGTGAGTGTAGAGTGTGGAATGTAGTGTGTGAAGTGTGGAGTGGGAAGTGTGCAGTGTGGAGTGTGATGTGTGGAGAGTTAAGTGTGGAGTCTGGAGTGCGAAGTAATCCTGGGAAGTGCCTTGTGCAAGCTTTGTAGTACAAAGTAGTACTGGGAAGTGTCTTGTGCAAGATTTGTAAAACAAAGAAGTATATACTGGGAATTACTCTGTGCAAGATTTGCAGTATATTATAAAGTAGTACTGTGAGGTACTGTGTGGACGCTTTGTAGTACAAAGTAGTACTGCGAGGTGTTCCAGATGTGTCGAGCAAGTGTGTCCAACAAGAGTGTCTTACAAGAGTTTTTCAGAGTGTTGAGAGAGAGTGTTTTACCAGAGTGTGCCACAAGAGTGTCAGGCAAGAGTGTCTCACAAGAGTGTCCCATAAAAGTGTCCCACAAGAGTGCCCCACAAGAGTATGCCACAAGAGTGTCACAAAAGAGTGTCCCACATGATTGTCCGAGAAGAGTGTCAAGCAAGAAAGAGTGTTCTGCAAGAGTGGCGTTTAATGCGATCGAGCATCTCCTGTTCGCTTTTCATGGTTCTGTAGGAACCCTTCTTCTACGTGAGCTTTTAAAAAATGCATTCGGGTTCGTGGCTTCTATCAGGTTTTTTTAGATATACTTCTATCTTCTATCATCCTAACTCCTTCGTGATTGGATCTCCCGTGAAAATTATCAGCTAGCCAAGTGGAATCATCTTCAATTCAAGTCATAGTTGGGAAAATGGGGGGTCCCATCATTGGGGGTCTCTATAAGGTATAGTATTTACCATACTATATAAATATGTAGTCAACTATGGTAAATATGTCAGCCCTGAAAGCCATCTGCAGATCAATTGAATCAACTGAATCAAAGCCTTCTGCACTTGTTCCCGACGAGCTTTCAGTCGCTCCTGGTGAGGTTTTGAAAAGGGTCTTGGGTAATGTTTGTCTAACGGATACATGTTAAATACATACCAATGTACATGTATTATCTGATATTAATTGATATTGTATATATATATATATATATATGTACACTACATGTTTCTTTTCATAGATATCATTAATTAACATAGATTTGTACCATGATGCTGTTCTGTTTCTTGATGAATGGCCTGAGTTGCTTCAGGCAAGATTCAGCACCAGGCCGCGCTGAGTTGCTATCCTCTGCATCCAGTTTGTCTTTCACGATATCACGATCTTGGCAGTGACAAGCGTCGGACACGAAAGGAGCCGGAAAGACCCGATGACATGTTTGCATGTCATCTATAGACTCTATCTCACCACAACCCTATAAGTCGTCAAAATATTGTCTAGTAATCAAACGAACAGGGCACATCCAAAACAAAAACAACAATTCTCCAACAAACTGTCTTCTTCCATCAACATCAGAGAAGACACATCAACAGAATCTACATCTTCAAATATCCTCCCCACCAAGTACCAGCAGTCTGAGATGCACTGCAAACCCACCCTCTGCTTGGGTTCCCAGCGTAAGCTATCCATGAGTTCCTGCCGCTCTTGCTTCTCTTGGGCTTTCTCCTGCCGTAAATCCAGCGTACTTGGTAAGGTTTAACATGGTTTAACAATATCATTACAAGTTCTCACTCGCAAAGCCAGAGTAGTGATAACATGTGATAACCATTGAACATCATTCATTATCATTCAACATTTTCGACATCATTCGGCGTATTCACTCCATTTCGCTGGAATTGAACTCCATTTCAAATCCTGATCACTCAAGTTGGGGCCAAATATTTTCCCATCTTCAGCCAGTCAGACGTCGGCCCTTCTTTAGACAAACAGATCTCCGGCAGCACGGGCCTCGGCCCTTTTAGCTCTGAGGAGCGCCAATTGAGAATCTCGATCCTTCTGCGTAGCTTCAATCTGGTCGGCAATCAAAATGGTGGATGGTGGAGGGAGGTGGGGAGAGGAATTCCAACATATTCCAAGCTTTCAGGAACTTCTTGGGCCCCTGGGGTCATGACTAACTTGGGATTAACCTCAACAAATTCGGATAGAATATGTTTTGGGGTCAGAAACTGAGACGCAGAGACTCACATTCTTGGTCATCTTCCGTACCAAACTTTAAGAATCATTTGGGGTACTCCAATGTCTTGACCAATGCTGAAGTATGGGAAAAACATCACCATGTCGCACCAGTCTGCTACGACTCGCACCTTCTGCTGCCGTTCTGCCGCTCGCTGCTCCATCTCAAGATACCTTAGTTTCACCAGAAAGGCTTCACAGCAGAAACGCAAGTTGGAGCCGGGACATGGCTTGAACGCGCGATGACATGAATAAAATGAAGGGCAACGATTTCCCATAAAATGCTTGTCTCCTGTTGCCCCCAGTTGAAATTATGTTGTTGATGTTATTGCAGGGTTCTGAGCAACGGAAGTTTATCTCTGACCTTGTTTTCCAACGCCGTTTGTTTTTCTGTAGTCTAAGTCTTCGAAATTTTGAACTACCTCAAATGTTTCAGGCTTGGCCACCTCAGTTTGAACTAATGCTGAGGCTTTAATAGCGGAGAATATTTCCACCTATTGTACATGTGCCAAAAAAAAACAGCCATTCCTCGTTCCTATAGAGACAGGTTAACCATTGGGAAGGGGCTAATACAGTATCTAAAGATAATTTAAGTGATTTGGATGGTTTAGTCCAGAAAAGGCCCATGGCTTTGGTAGACCAACAGTGAATTTAGCCAGGATTTCGTATGAATTAATGCCACTACTTACTGGGCTTGAAGAAAAATCTCCACACCTAGCTTTTTGATCCTTTTTGGGTTCAACCTGGCATCAACACTCAAGGGTTCCACCCGAACTGCTACCAGTATAGCTTGAGTTAAAACCTTGGTAAACATCCCACCACCAAGTGGCCAAAGCTTGGTATGCTCCTCCTGGTCCATGTCACGTGACGCCCCGTGACATGGAGGTTTCCATAAATGTGGTATACCCCTATGAAGGAATGGTGTATATATAGTTAATTTATAATAGGATGTGTGATATAATAATGGTAAAATCCTGTGAAAATGGATGATTTGGATTGATTTGAGGGT